TATTTTTAAATTGCAAACACTTCTTAAACTGAATAACATCAAAAACAAACCGTGGAAAGGAAATACCAGGACTTCTTTGGTACATTATGACGTAACATTGACGTCACAGACACACCGAAAACRRCCGACATTTARCGATTTTTTTTGGCAAAYCAAACTTTAATATTGCCTGATAATAATCTGATAGAAAGATAATGGAGAAAATGACGGYTTTTCGTTWAGAATTTAGTAGTGAAATATGATAATTTGCAACACATTCCAGTGATTGAAGGAATACTCTGAGTATTATCGGCATACCGTGCTAACTTTGTACCCCAATGTAAATGATATTGCGATAAACGACCATGTCGGTCATAGAAAGGTTCGTCCTTGATTAAACATTTACAATTACACCACTAGAACGGCAGAGAAGCAACAATAGAGTTTTTTTACTGAAAGATATGAAATACTGAAGAGATGTTTCGTGATTTCAGATTAAACTTTAAGTTTATACCCAAGTTAATACTTTTAACACCTGTAAAAAAGCGTAATTTGGAAATACTACAAATTTTTTTCAGCAAAAAAAATCTGTTCCAAAGAAGGATGATTTTTGAGTATCTTAGGTTTTAACAATGTTTATTTCATGTTGGGGCATCCATTTAAAGTATGAAGAAAATGTTTCTTAATCTCTACCTCGTGTTGTGCGATTAAATACTTTCACTGGAGTTGTTCCTCTACAAACTAAGATGATATATTTATATATCCATCAAAAGAAACAAAAAAGTAGGAACAAAAAATAAAACTCGCTAAAACTGAGAGAAAATTGGTGACATTATGAGACGCAAAAGGTGAAAAAGTGAATCAGGGTTACCGGAAGTGCTCCCCAAAATTCAGACCGCACTGAATCACGCAATATCATTTAGGTTCTGAAAACATTTGTAAAGATAAAGATCAGAGCAGATGAAAGGCCATCATTACCAGTAATTRCAATAATACCATGCACTTACCATACTTYTTGCTGTTGGTATAAAATGGAATTTTACTACGCGATAAAGTTTTGTCCGTGCAAGCCTCGCATATACACCGCCTCGAATGRTTTCTTTTTTCCATCTTTTTAACCCTGGCTACGCAGAGACCATGGCAATGTTSATTGTCAGAAAGTCGAAATACAAACAGTTGACGTTTTCCTTCGCTTCCGAAGACTTAAAAAGTACATTTTGAGGGCACTTTGTCGGGAGCATTCTTCRAGTGTTCAAAAATACAATGCATTGAATCACTTAGTTGCAGTCTCCTGCTGGGATGTTGTCCACAGTCGGTTTATCTTTCATTTGTAAATAATCACAGAGCAATAAAGTCGCGACGTAATGAAGACAGATTCGAGTTGCGCATAAGCTAACTTTGTCAAACTCTGTTGAACATTTTTCACTTTATTTCTTATTTAATTCCTTGAATGATATTAATAAAACAGCTTCAACCAATCAAACATCACAAAAAAATATCCGCATCCACCCAATCAGAAACCAGAGAACTGGCGCTAAAATTTGTATGCTCCTTACCATGCAAACATCAAGGAGGTTTACTACTCGTGTTTATAAAGATACCCGCAAATATTGAAAAAAAAAACCTTGAAAGATTATATTTACAATGAAAGCAGCCTAACGTTTATGTCCGGCTATTGATTAACGAAAAGTAAAACGGAAAACCACGAAGTTATTCCGAATTATGTAAATCATAGGTATACACACGCTTCTTCAACAATAGCATAGTGTCTTGAACCTCTTAAGAGGTACTAGCCACAAAAATTCAATAATAATAATTCATGAATTGTCTCGCCAGTAAAATAAAGCTCTTCAGGTTACCATGGAATAATGAAAGACCACAAAAAATTCGCAAAGTAGTTCACTCTAGAAAAACATTCAAATTACTGAAAAAGCAATAATCCAATGCCTGACAAGCAAATATCACAAAGCAAATAGCGAAGTCAAATTAATCTCTTTTTCTAAAAACTGACTTACTAATCACATGGAAACCAAGATATAACTTAAACTTGATGCTTCAATATCAATATAAGTTAGCTAGTCATTGCAGACTTTAGCAAAAACAACTAAATATTATTGGACTTTTAATAATAAAAAGACAGTATCCTACACTTTTTCTCATAAATGATCTATGATGAGGATGAAGTTCTGGGTGATTCTACTTGCGTGGAGAATGCCGACCATGATTTGTTTTGTGAATGAAAGTCTCCCCCTTAACTAGACACTTTTTAAGTCAAATATCTTGCTGGATAAGAAAAAAATGAAAAAAAAAAATGAGATAAAATAATGAGTTGGTAAAACTAAAATCTGCAAGTAATTATGTTGGAGCCACCTTAACAAGGGTGATGAGTTAACAAGTTTTTGGGAAAAAATGTTATTGTCATATTTTGTATTCTAAGTCTTCTGAAAACCTCTTTCTCACTACCTTGGAAAATGTTGAGAGAACCAAACCCCTCAACCCCTTTAAATGAAAATTTCAAAATGAGAAAATTTAAGGTGAAGGCAACAGCTGGATAAGAAGTTAGTAAAATTCAGTTAGAAATTTATAGCATAATTTACCATCCTGAGGTATATTATAGTTTAAAAGGATATTATTGGAAGTATTATTTCTTTGTGCTGGTTAAAGAAATTGCATGTTTTGCAGTGATATTTAACATATGTACAATTAGTGCTACGTCGAACATGTTAACAAATTTTGTGACAAAATGGTACATTTATAAACAGAAGTTATAATTATTCATAGAAATTTCTAAATAAATAGTCCTCTACCTTTGAGAATCTGTGATCTAACATTATGTATCCCCATCAAGATGTCGACATAGCATCACCTTTCTCAGTTAAAATGATTTTTTGATAATCAAAAACTTTATCCATCAAACAGAAGTAATGAAGCAATTCTTAGTCCATGTGTCATGGCTGACATTTGTAAACTGAAATGCAGTAAGGCTAGTGTCAAATAACTCAAAATAAGGTATCGTTTTCCATGAAGTCACCAAGATATCTCATTTCACCATTATTATGACTGAGAGGTCACTTATCTTTGGAGTAAGACTTCTACTTTTCACTATTCATCCATGTATTGATATATAAAACTACTATTGTCTAAACGACGATCACAACTGTGATACCATACAAGAAGAAATCTAAATTATCGAATATTTGAGACGTAAGAAAGGCTTGATATTACTATCTATTCCATTCATAATAAATATCATCAATAACCTTGCTAAAATCTTATAAAATACACATATAATATATTCTTGATATTGTAACAGTAATAAATCAGATATCCTGTGCAACATTTGTTTATGTTTGAAAATTTACACAATTCCTGTTGAGTGTATTAATATAACATGTATATACTTGAAAATAATGACAAATTAACTTGAAAATCCAGTTATAACAATAGCTATGAGTTTGATATTGGCCATGAGAAAAACCACACTACAATCATTACAATTATTTCAACCCATTGACAAAATTAAAGTAATTGTTATGATATTTTTCATTGTGAAAATATTTGTTCATATATGTTAACAAAAAATAATGCCCAAAATTTATCTGTCCAACACAGCGATATCGAGGTGAAATGTACAAAATCAAGAAATTCTAAATTAATCTAATTAGCAACCAATAGGTCGTACCAATGTTTGCTGTCATGTCTGACTATTCGATTTTCAGTAAAACAACTCAAGGAATCTCCCAAAATCCATCGTTTCAACAATTTGTAGTGTTATGCTATCAAAAAGCGTTTCAAGATCACCGACCGTGGTAAAATATTTATTTAAGCGGTCAAAACCAATATTGTACAATCAAGGATTTGACGCAAGGAATGAAATGCACAGTGCACCTAAAAGATGCGATGACATAAAGCTTAAAAACTAGAAACCCGCTAACACCGGTGTATAGATTTACCGTCTTGTGTTGATCACGGCATAGCTTCTAATTCACACGAAGTTCTTTTGCTAAGCTATATCTATCATTAAACAAACAGATCCTCATAGGACTGGGTCACTTGAGGTGTTCTGAGATTATGAAACTCTATTTTTATGCAAATCACTACTGAAGAGTAATTATTCGTGGAAACATCATATGGTTTTAAGGATCGTTTGCTCCCCTGGAAACGTTACGCACATTACATGTGAAATTTGTAACATCAACGCTTGGTTTTAAATACCTAAATGTTCCTAAACCCTTTCAAAAATTCTAATAACGAAAGATCATTTGTATGACCGCAAGTTTGGAATACCACAGTCAAACGTTCATGATTTTAGCAAAAGAGCACTGAATTCCGTCTCTTGCTTTCTCTACATGCGTTAGAAATAAATTCTAATCAAATGCTCCAAACAGCTGGATAACACTTAGTGAACAGCTGAGGGAGAAAGCTTGAAACATTTAGTTAAACTTCGTCTTGAATCAACAGTTGTGAATCGAACTCTAGTGAGAGGTTGAACTCCTGACAACAATTGAGGTTATGTTGTCAATGAAACGACGGCTTAATATCCGCTATAGCATAAGATTCGAAAAGTGATTTTAATGTATAAATATGTTTTATACTAGACAAGAATATTATTATACCTTACCTATACAATTATGCACACGAACAGACAGCGACGTTCGTAATATTATTGTGTTTTTGCGGCTGCAAATAAAAGAGGCAGGAATTACTCTTGGGTAACTGGTTACGAGTAGTTACACCACATTCATAGCCAAGACATCTCATAGATGTAAATGCACCGCGCGAACAAGTTAACAGACCATCTCGATTTATTGATGAATCATGTCGTTAAAACCACACACTTGTGGAAACTACAACGGCCCACGTACCTATCGAGAAAGCCTTCTAATAAATCTGCTTGTTCCTCTAGAGTATTTTCCAGTTCCAAATAGCATCCATTATGCGATAGTTGAAGTGCCACATCGTCGATCTAAATCCATACAAGACATACAGTCAGTAGAATAACACGATTGTATAGTATTAATAAGTTGGAAAGAACATGGGAAAAGCCCGTACGTACTGCGTGCGGTGCGCATAACAGTCGATGTAATCCATCTACTTGCTGGCATAGCGGAATATTTAAGTGGAAAGTATACGTTGGTGGCCGAGTTGGCTCTGGGAAATTTGTGCTGGCGAAAGGGTCTGTGTCATCCAGGTATTGTACTTTGCAAGTGAGCGCCATCTTTACATCGGACACTGTTGCTTCGGTCTGGACTTTCCGCAATTTCTCGTTCGACGCAAGCGCAGATGCGCCACTTCTTCTGCTTCGCTGGGGGTTCGATGTTGATTCACGTGATCCATTTCGTCTCCGATCTCTGGACGAATTTAGCGCAGGTTCCCTCATTCGGAATAGCAGTCATTAACTCTTTGAAGTGTAATCATCGGTTCTTGGGTTACAAGAAGGTTCCAGTATGGTCGTAACCGTCAAAGACACAACCAAATGGTGGTAGCACATTGTCTTTGTAACTGACCTTCATGCTCTGCGCTTGACTGAAATGATGGCTTGATTAAGGATTGATTATGAGCAACCTTAATCGCCCACAAGGGACAGGAGTGTTCGGAACAGCCAATTAATGTGCGCGATTGTTTTTGTGATGTATACAAAGGAGTGGTTGTTAGCCGCCTGGAATTATGGTTCGTTAAGCCTTCTGTGTACAATAACCCGCATCCGTCCGTTATTTTATTCTGTGTTAAGAACAACAACCACATCGTTTTCAAGTATTATTTTTATCCTAGACACTAGAATGGCTCTAAACGGCTTGATATATTTCTGTCAGATTGAAAATGCTCAACAGGCCTCAAAGAGAGACAATTGGTTTGAACGGATTATTGTATGCATACCGAGTTTTAATAGAAGCGCTGTAATGTCACTCCGGTCGCTCTGTTAGGCCATGCAATTAGATAGTCGCTTGTGGTATGCATGGTATTTGATCTCTCAATAAAACAACTTCCAAACATCAACTAACATCAATCTTTTTCTGGATATTTTTACGTAACTTCCGTGCATAGATAAGAGAAACCTTCCACTAGTCAAAGAGATGCGTAAATGTAATAAATTCCTGAGCAATAAAGTTCCGAAAAAACGCAGGCTAGAAAATAAATGGACTTTCAAAAAAGGATTAATCTTAATTGTCCGCTATGAAAAAATCAATTAAGCAATAAATCGAGCGTTTAACTGAACGAACCACAACACTCGAAGCACTAGCTATGCCTTACAAACCATTTCCGAGATAATCGATGTATTTTGAAAACCAAATTTGTTTCAAATATCCGAGAATTGTGTTACTGCAGGGCTTACACTAAATCATTGCAAAACCTGAAAATGTTGTTAAAAGCGGAGGTCATGACTCYAGCAATTTTGTGGCTTCAAAAATACCAAGTAATTTCTCTCAAGGTAGGTTTCCGCTCTGGTGCTGTTCTAATACCAGAAACACAAAAAAACGTTTTCAAGACCTAGATAAACAYTTGACCACTAGGCTAGCGTGAATRTGACTGATATGTCGATCAGTAAATATAAGATAAAGGCAGGGTTTGTCATCTGACATGAATGCACAACTCACGCATAGAGTATGTGATGGATCAATACTGACAAGTCCTGTACTTATCAGATTTACACTTGAAAAGGTTATGATGTAAGATGAGGGTTATCGATATCAATATTTTGCTTTAAGCAATTGCTTTCTAAACAGATGCTGAATTAAAACGTAAATATCAAAAGCATATTTTTTTTATTTTTACAGTATAGGTCAACCGTTACACATAATAAATGCACGGGGAACGACGGAATCATGGGACATGACAAACATTACTTTTCGCGTTATTGG